AGCTTCTTCAGCCAAATAGTCAATTATACGCCCAGATTTGTTGATTGGTTGTAGACAGATGTTTCGTGATCGGTCACACAGTTGCTTGAGGGGCATAATGCTGTCAAACTTGTTCTGTATGTCTGCTACTGACTTCTGAATTGTCAGTAAATCATTTTTGCTACAAGCCGCATTCTCCGTCAGTTCCCCCATGACATCAGATACCATAACTCTAAGTGTTTCTGGTGTAAGTAGTGTGGAATCGTCAACGGAGCTGGGGCCTTCAGATGGTCGACGAGAATTAGACCTCAGTCTCTTAACGGTACTTAACAGTTTGGTAGACTTAACCATTGCAGAAACAAGAATTTTCACAATTTCCGGATATAAGTCTTGAGGATATAAAAAATATAGGTGTATTATCGAAGTATCTGTATCCACGTAAAGGTAAACGCAGATGAAACCAATAAAAGATGGTCAAGGAAGCCTGATTACCACATAGGAGGGATAAATAAAATAGTAAGCAGATCATTAAGAGGACTCCGGATCTGAACATCACTTCCAAATCGTCCAGAAGTACCACCAACAGCAGGAACAGAATTGCCAGTGTACACCAATCCTCCAACAAAAGCAGAAGTTTAGGATGAAATCAGGCTACTGAAGTCCGTAAAGACAGCAAGATAACATGGAATTCGTGCTGAAGCAGTGAAAACAAACGAAGAGTCTGCAGGGGATATCTTCACGCCACTATTGCAGGATAATTTGAAGGAAAGCAAAGCGCCTACTGACTGGAAGGAAGGCCACCTTGAGAAACCTCCAAAAAGTGATGACTTGGGCATATGTAGGCGTTGGCGCAGAATCATGCTTTGTGCACGTTAAGAAATACATCGTCTCACATCATCCTGGGCTGGCCAGAAGACGCACTAGATATGGAACTTCAATCTGAACAAGCTAAATTCAGGAAGAGCAAATCATTTGCTGATCAAATTTCAACTCTAATCACCATCGAACAGGGCATAAAAGGGAAGTCAAACCTCTACCTCAACAACTTATTGACTTCGGGAAAGCCTTCGACAGGGTTGACTGAGAAGTAATTTGGAAACTACTTCAACATTATGGCGTGCAGCACTCCAGATGTGTCCCAACTCCATTCAACAGCTATATGACAATGCCACATGTCAGGTAATCCACGAGAGAGAACTCAGCGAAGCCTCCGACATCAAAGTGGGAGTGAGACAAGGCTTCTTGCAATCACCAATGATATATTAGAGGCTGAGGATGTTGACGTTAACGGATAGTACGAAGTATACTAACGCAAGATCTAACACCCACAACTTCTGTAGAATTCGTCCTAAAGGCAAAGCAAAACACCAGAATTGATCTTCCAAAATGTGAACTATATTTCGGGACGAGATTGGGGTGCTAAATGATTGCTTAACCAGCCAGGGGTTGTGCACGAACGAACGTGACACGATGACGTTGCAAATAGCGTGGATGCTTGACCGGAAGTCTCCAGCTAAATAGGTCCATTAAAAGACCGAGGATCAGCATCCAATGTTCAGTGATGAATGCTCTGGCCAATAACTCTGGGGAATTATCTACTGCTAGTATATTCTTAATTCTAATAGACTGGCTTGTGTGCCAAACTATGATGAGTGAGAACGCAAGAATACGCTAGACCGAAAAGAAAACTACTGACCTGAATTCTTTGGATGATTTATATCCAATGCTAAACAAGCTCGAAAACTTGCAGACGAAAGCCAACAAGTATGCAGGAGAAGAAGCCAGCAAAGACAGGACTTCAAGTGAACACAGAGGAAACAGATGAGGCGGTGAGACTCACTGTCAGCTGCCTACGTAGCAATGTGAGGTTGACCTACTACTTAAAATAATCATTCTCACTGAAACGTCGCTAACCCCCCACTATCACCGACAACGAAATCAGTATAGGTGACGTGGTTCTGGTCAGGAGAGACAAGGATAATGAGGAAGGAGGGGGAGTTGATGTATACTTTGACAGGCAACTTAAATGTGTGCGCGTAACGGACCCACCACTTATTAAACTCCCAGATTTCCTTTGGAATCACTTCACCGTAGGCCACATCAAACACTTACTGAGTGGCATCTACCGATCTCCCACCTGTGGGGCAGAGCACAAACAGCTACTGCTCAGCACTATCACAGGGATACGGGACTTTGGCAATGACCAAATCACCATAGCTGGAGATTTCAATGACCCATCATTGAGCCTAAGCTCGACGTGTGCTAAGGGCGAATTAGGCCAAAATCCACTGCAAACTGTTCGAAATACGGAACTGACTGAGGATGTTGGAGACGACATTAGGTGGGGCCCTAGTGGAAAGTCATCAAAACTAGACTACATTCCAACTGGTGACCAACTACTCGTCGAAAGGGTCCAGATCATGACTCCCCTAGGAAGTAGTGACCATGCAGTCATAGGTTTTGACCTAGTTCTCCGTGAGCGTTTGCTGTGGGAAGTTACGCGAACATGTCTGAGCTATAACAAGACAGACTACGCTGAAATGAGGAGGCTTTTGACCGACGCAGACTGGCCCTTAGCATGGGATCAGCTATCTGTGGATGAACACTGGGAAGTGGTAAAAAAGATTATTCATACAGCAATCTCGGATACCCTCCCTTTAGCCACAACACAGCCCAGAAGAAAGTCATCATAGCTGAAGAGAGGCACGCAACGTATTCCCCAAGCGAAGCGTAAGGCTTGGTTTACGTGGTGCGTATCTAAGAGTCGTACAGACCATGACGCATACCCAGAATTCAGGAACCGGTGCAACGCGAGAGTCAGGAGTGACAAGAGGTCATTCCAGGCTAACTTTGCCAAAAAGCTCCTAGCAAACCCCAAAAACTTGTGTTGATTCGTGTCGGAAAGAAAACCAACAAACCAGAGGGCATGCACCTTAGTAGATCCAAATGGTCAATACCTCGCTAGTCTGGAGATGGCTGAAACATTCAGTTTAGCCTTCGCCAAACAGCTAAACAGCAATGTGTGTATTGCCGCTTCAGACCAAAATGGTGGGACTACTAATTCACAGGAGGAAGACCTAGTGGCTACTCCCCAAATGAACCCGGAAATAGTACTAAGGAAACTACAGCGACTCATACCTGGGAAGTCCTCAGGTTGTGACGACGTCAGGCCATCTGTTCTGAAACAGTACGCCGAAGCTCTCTGTAGGCCCTTATGCGACCTGTTCCAACACTGAATGGATTCGGAGAAACTGATAGGGGAGTGAAAAACAGCCGTCCTTCCTCCTATCTTCAAGGGTGGGGATAGGCAAAATGCCACTATTTTATTTATTTTTTAATTTTGGTTACAGCTTGATTCCACACTGTATTTTTGGTACTAGTATGGAATTTTCAGCGTGGATATCGGTAGCCCAAATTTCGGAGGCCGACCATAGATATCTGGTGTGCACCGGTGTGGGCTCGAACCCCGGACCATGTGCATGGTCGTCGAGAGTCCTAACCACTGTGCCACCGACGCACTAGTCAAAGACCAGTAGCTCTACTCCCAGTGGTATCAAAAGTACTGGAAAGTATTATCGACGATCACATCATGGAATACCTCGATAGATCTATTATACTCCATGAAGCCCTACATGGTTTCAGGACAGGCAGATTCTGCGCAACAGACCTACTATCAGCTTGGGACGATTGGATATCATACTGGGATATGAATGTTCCAGTTCATGTGGTATTTCTAGACATTGAGAAGGCGTTTGACACCGTTCACCATGACCTTCTCCTACACAAAATGAGCCAGGTAGGTATAGGTGAGCCACTTCTGTCATGGTTAAAGGACTGTCTGGCTGAAAGGCAATTTTGCACTGAGGTCAATCGGGTCAAATCATCTTGACACAGCTCGTCATCAGGAGTGTCACTGGGGTCTATCCTAGGACCACTGATGTTTTCGACCTTTGTCAATGATCTACTATACCGTCTAAGCTATCCAACCCTTCTACACGCTGACGACGCAAAGATATGGAGGGCGATAAAGTGTCCGGAGGACTCAGATAGACTATTAGCAGATCTAAAGCTTCTGGAAGACTGGGCGGTGCCCAGCGTCATGAATTTCAACCTGAAAAGTGCAAAGTAGTGAAGTTGCGGACCTGTAGACTGTAGAATGCAAGTTACACCTGTGCAATAAAAGCTTGTCCTACACAACGTCGGAACGCGACTTAAGTCTAGTTCTAACGGAAAAGTGGACACAAGCGGTCATACACTTTACGCATAGACAGTTAGGTGCACTCACTCCTGAGCTCTTTCTACGGTTGTACAAAACATACGTCATACCATACTTTGAAGTGCATAATATTATTGTACCCCCAATGTTTAGAAGAGTCACCAACTTCTGGGAAAGAATACGAAGAAGGGGAAACAAGAGGGGTGGTTGGTCTCCGAAATAAACAATATGATGTTTAGAGGTTGACGGTATTGACGTTCGCGAATTGTACGGAGTATACTAACGCAAGATCTTATACCAACAACTTCTATAGTATAGTGTTCGTTTCTCGTGTACCGAAGGCAAAGCAAAAGACCAGAGTTGATCTTCCAAACTACGAGATATATTTGGGACCAAATCGTGGACTGAAGCGGAAGCTAAGCTGGCTAGTGATCGCGCACGAAAGTGTCACGACGGAGTAGCAAATGGCGAGGATGCTTGATCAGAAGCCTTCAGCTAAACAAGTCGACTCAAACGCTAAGGGTCAGCATCCGATGTTCGCTGATGATTCCTGTGGTCAATAATTTTGGGGAATTATTCACCGCTACAGATGAAAGGCTAAAGAACTTAGGCCTATTCACACTTCCCCACCATCGGATTAGGGGGATTTAATCACTGCCTACAAAATGACAAATGACCGGAATCACCCAAACAAAGGTGTCCTGCCATTAAGTAGGTATTGGCTTCATCGTGGAAACTCCAGAAGGATAGCTCACCAGAGGGTAAGGACCCGGGTGCGCTCCCACTTCTTTTCACTGCGGGTTTGTCATCCCTGGAATTCCTTACCGGCAGATGTAGCTATGGCAACGTCTGTGGATGCCTTTAAGCGAAGGCTGGAAAATCATGCGGTGACACAAGAACTGCGTCGAAATGACCTATCCCCTTAAAATCCCATACACCATTCAACGGTAGACAACTAAGTTCGTCGTTTTACTTCTTTACATTCTCTCTCGTCTGACTCTCCTGACAACTTTAACTACACTTATTATTATTGTCTCTTTTCTTTTGACAACGATACCGGAGGACTAACTGGTGAAAGGATCAACTCCATTCACAGTAGTAACAGTCTTGACACACCTCATGCTACAAACCACATATAATTAATTCCAGTACTACTCCTTTTGGAGTCAACCAAAGTTACGAAAGTCGAGTGGCGGGACGAGCTACGGAGAAGTTTACCGAAGATCAGGAACCTATACTTCACAATTAAGAGGCGAGCACAAAGAAATTGAATTGGTTTATACTAGCTGGTAAGAACGATATTAGATATTGGACATTAGAGAGCGTGTATTGATTTTGCGTCACCATGAGTAGCTTGGATTTAAATCCGAAATATGAAAAAGGTAAGATTCTTACTGTTTTCTTATATAGAATCACGTACATCAAGGCGAAAAATTACTTTGTTTCCATGGGCCTCTTATGTATGAGGCGAAATGCTTAGACGTTAAAGTGAAAGAGGATGGTGTAATATATTATGTGCATTACCAAGGCTGGAATAAGAGGTAATAATATATCAGTAATAATTTACGGTTTAATATAGCTGGGATGAATGGGTGACTGAAAAACGAATGTTCAAGTATAATGAAGAGGGCTTGACAAAAAAACAAGAATTAGAGCGACAGATGTAACTTGTGTAAAGCAATGTTTCTGATCACGATGCTTCTTGTAATTTTCAGGAAATCCGGGAAGGTTAAAGTTTTAAGAAAGTCTGAATTAAAGTCACAGTCATTGCCACCTCCAGAAGTCTTGGAGGACGTTGAACGGACACTGAAGCCTGGTCAAGTGAAAGAAGGTGAGATATTACCCGGTTATACTAAGTTCCGCTGTAGAGGAAGGCGCTCTTAAGGCCAAGAATATAAAGACCAACGGAGAATCCAGCCGGAAAATTGATGCTCGTGTCCGTGTTGATGTGAAAAAGACTGAAGATACTAAACCACCCATTAAGTGTTGTGAAGATTCGAACGCATCGTCTACTCCACCTGTCACAGTAACAAGTAGGAGAAGAAGAAGCCGGGTGTCATCAGTGCTAAAGTCTCTTGAAAATGCAAGTATATCGTGCTTTTGTGTTACAATTTTTTCATTCTGTCCGATTTAATTTTGTTTTACCGAGATAGTTTGTGCTTTGGTATTGTGATTCATTTTGTGAGACACAAAAATTCCTTTTTTTCGGAGATAATAGAGTAGCAGCGTTGTGTCAAACGACAATTTTAAGTCGACATTTGTGTTATGTAGCTCATTCAAAACGTATTTTAACACTGTGACCACTAGTCGTGGAGATCCAATATCCAATATCGTTTTTACGAGCTAGTATAAACCAATTTGATTTCTTTGTGCTCGCCTCTTGATTGTGAGGTATAGGTTCTTGATCTTCGGTAAACTTCTGCGTAGCTTGTCCCGCCACTCGACTGTCGTAGCTTTGGTTGACTCCAAAGGGAGTAGTGCTGGGATTAATTATATGTGGTTTGTAGTATGAGGTATGTTAAGACTGTTACTACTGTGATTGGAGTTGATCCTTTCGCCAGTTAGTCCTTCGGTATTGTCGACAAGAGAAAAGAGATAGTAATAATAATAATAATAGTAATAATAATAATAGATATAATTAGTGAAGCTATTCAGACTAAGAGACAGAAACGAAAATAGGAAACGTAACAACAGTCAGCTCATGAAGTTTGAAGAATAATATATCGGTAATAGTAATAGTAATAATAGTAATTATAATATTAATAAGTTGTCAGGAGAGTAAGACGGGAGAGAATGTAAAGAAGTAAAATGATGAGTTTAATTATCTACCCTGATTGGTAAATGCGATTTTAAGGAGATAGGCCATTTGGATGCAGTCCTTGTATAGCTGCATGGTTGTCCAGCCTTCGCTTGTCTGTCTGTCTGGATTCAACATAGAACTTGGCACCGAAGTGCAGCAGTTCGAGTTGCCACGTTCCAAATAGCACACAGAGGTAGACAAGGAGATGAGTGAAGAGAATCAATAGAGTTTGACAAATATAAGAGTGAAACAGAATGGGTAATTGTAGAAAGGAATATGAAAGATTACAGAGATTGAATACATCTGCGCCATTGACAACGATTTTGAGCCATGTCACCTATTGTCTCCAGCCATTGATTCCTAGAGTCGCGAGGGCCCCAACCCGGGAGTCTGCATCTCCCTACCTGACTCAGTTTAACTGTCAAGGATTTCATGGATTGATGCCATGTTTTTGTTTGGCCACCACTGGCTCTTTTCCAACCTGAACCTATATCAGCTAACAATGCCCGTCGGGGGAGGCGATGGTTAGGCATGCGCACCACGTGACCTAGCCATCTTAGTCTATGTAACTTTATAACCTCGTCGATTGATTTTCCCTCTTTGCCCAACACTCTACGCCTAACGTCAACATTACTTACCTTATTAAACCACCTAACGTGAGAAAGAGATCGCAGACATCTATGATCGAAAGCAGTCAACCTTTTCATGTCTTCAACGCGTATTGGCCATGTTTCAGAGCCATAGAGAAGGACGGAGCGAACTGATGAGCAGTACACACGTCCCTTGGTTGATAACCGGATGTCACGCCTACGCCAGAGATGGTGTAAGTCAGCGAAAGCAGCTCGAGCTTTTCGGATCCGTGCTGAGATTTCATCGCCAATCAGTCCGTTGGTGCTGATACAACTTCCCAAGTAGGTGAAGTGGTCAACATGTTCTATCACTTCACTCCCTATCACTAAGTTAGGGGTTGACGTCGTCCAGTCCTGTAGCAGCATCTTACATTTTGCAGGGGCGAATCGCATGCCAAACATACGAAGATTGCTGCTCAAGGTGTTCAGAAGACTCTGCATTTTGTCAGCATCCTCCCCTAACAGGACTATGTCATCTGCATATTCTAAGTCCATTAGATTATTCCCTGGTAACAAGTCGATTCCTAAGTCACTACGTTCAGTTAAGGATACTTCCATTAGCATATCTATGATGAAGTTAAACAGAAATGGGGAAAGTGGACATCCCTGTCGGACACCACTGGTTGTTACTAATTCAGATGACAATTCCCCATAAGCCCTTACACGACTACGTGAGTTTGAATAGAGTGCCTTAATTAGTGCAATGTACTTTCTTGGCACTCCCTTCACAGTCAGACATTGCCATAGTACTTTTCGGTCCACGGAGTCGAAGGCCGCCTTCAAGTCAAGAAATATGACAATTGTTGGACGCCGAAAAGTGTGTCTATGTTCTAGAATCTGTCGAAGAGTGAAGATATGATCTATGCACCCTCTACCTGGTCTAAAGCCTGCTTGATTTTCCCTTGTCTGTTCCTCCCGAGTTCTGCTTAGTCTATGCATGATTACTGAGCCTAGGATTTTAGAGACTATGTTCGTTAGGCTGATCCCCCTATGATTATCACACGAGGACTTGTTTCCCTTCTTGAATATCGGTATAATGAGTGACTTACCCCAGTCAGATGGTACTGTCTCTGATTCCCAGACTTTGCCTAGTACCTCAGTTAATCTACAAACTAGTATGTCACCCCCATATTTAAACACCTCCGGAATAATTCCGTCGGGTCCTGCCGCTTTGCCTCGTTTCAAATTACTGATAGCTTTTGTAACCTCACCTACAGACGGCGGACCAGTGTCTATATCCCATTCGGGTACGTGGTGGATGGCGGGGAGGTTCAGTGTGGCTGTAGGCAAGTTAAATTGTTCCTCAAAGTGTTCTTTCCAGCGTTCAAGGCGTCTATCCTGAGAGCTAATTAAGGAGCCATTTTTCTCAGAAATAGTCTCACTTATGAATTGCCTTTTCCCGCCCGATTCTGTGATGAGTCTAAAGAGTTGCCTAGTGTTGCCTATCGCCAATGCTTTTTCCATCTCTTTCGCCTTTGTCACCCACCACTGTTCACGGTCTTTGCGGAGACTTTTAGTAAGTTTCCTTTTGTGCAGCTTTCGCTCCTCATTGAATTCGGAGCTCGCCGGAATAAGTCTTCTAGCATCCATCAGTTCGGATGAGGCAGTCGAAATCCAGTGGTTTTTACTCACCTTTGGATTTGTCTTATTCACAGCTTTTACAGCTGTATCTATAGCTGACTGAATATTCTTCCAGGCTTCTCCAGGGTGAGCACAGCTGTCGGATTCAGATATGCGTTTAGCTAGTTCTTCCTCAAATAGGGATTTAGTTTCCTGATCGAGCTGGGGGCGTAATGGTTTTACCGCCAGCTGTTTCCTACGTCCGTTCAGTCGTAAGCACACACGAGCCCGGACCAGTGCATGATCGGTATCTACACACGTGTTCCACAAGGAGCGACAATCTCCTACCGACCCACGCCAACGATAGCTTATTGCTATGTGGTCTATTTGTGTCCAGCGTTGGTTTGATGATGGGGGTCGCCAGGTTAAACAGTGTCTCTCCTTGTGTTTAAAGTTAGTGCTTACAAGGAACAAATGATTATCTGAACAGAACTGTAGGAGACGGTCACCGTTGTCGGTTCGCTGGTACGGAACTCCATAGGTGCCACCGACATCCTTCTCAGATTGACACAATTTCCCTACTTGAGCGTTAAAGTCACCAGCTAGAACGACTATGTCTGAGCGTTTAGCCTTTCTCACCAAACTAGACAGCTTTTGGTAGAACTCATCCTTCGTTTCATCTGAACTGCAGTCAGTGGGGGCGTAGGCGGAGATTACGAAAAGGCATCGGCGAGTAGTGCAGTCCTTTCTCCTTCTTACTGATCCGTTCAGACGGACAGCACACATTCGGCTATCTACTGGGATCCAGTCAAGCAATGTCTTTTCTGCCCTAGTACTCAGAGCTATCCCTACGCCAGCTAATCCCCGTGAACTAGCTGTGGCATCTCCTGACACCCTCAAGGTGAATTTTGAAGATTCATCCTGTTGGCCAGGTGGGTTTAGGTGAATAACCACACTTGGGTCTTGTATGCGTGTTTCTGAAACACAACATACATCAATGGCTCGAGATGCCAGGGTCTTAGCTAGTGATGCTTGTTGTCCTATTTGGCAAAGTGTCCTTACATTAAATGCTCCTATATGAAATTGGTGGCGTGGCTTTAGGAGACAATCCGTGGTGGTTTTTTGGCTTTCGTCGTTTTTAGTGGACACAGAGTGAAGAGGGAGTGAGGAGTCATCAAGTAGAGGAGTTGCATCACTGGGGGAAGGTAAGGTAATAGAGATGAAGATGAAGACAAAGATAAGTGAGGATTAGAGAGGTTTTGTGTGCGTTTTGGATTGTGGGGGCGATTGTTACTTCCCGGCTGCCCACACCGTGGAAGTTGGTTGCGTGACCGCAGAGCCCAGGGGACAACTGCTTGTGGCCGGTCACACGCGGCCTGTTTTTGTTCGTTCTTCGTTGTTTTGTGTGCCTCAGTAGCATACTTATCACTCCCGCCCTGTGACACGGCAGCAGGAAGCGCGGTCGTTGTTAATCCGGGCCACGGCCGATCCGGCATGAAATTTTGTGAATTTGTTTGGATCATGGTATTGGATGAGGTAGCTGCTTTTTGTTTAACCGCTATCCAAACAACCTGCCTGGCATGGTAGAACCTCAAGAGACATAAGTCTCAGCCAGTAAGCCAGCCTTCGCTTAAAGGCGTCCAAAGACGGTGCCATAGCTACATCTGCCGGTAAGGAATTCCAGGGACGACAAACCCGCAGTGAAAAGAAGTGGGAGCGCACCCGGGTCCTTGCCCTCTGGTGAGCTATCCTTCTGGGATTTCCACGTGGAAGCCTATACCTACTCAATGGCAGAACACCTTTGTTTGGGTGATTCTGGTCATTTGTTATTTTGTAGGCAGTAATCAAATCCCCCCTAAGCCGACGGTAACTAAGTGTGAACAGGCCTAATTTCTTCAGCCTTTCATCATATGGTTTGTTTCGGAGACCAACCACTCCTTTTGTTGCCCGTCGTTGGACTCTCTCCAAGAGGTTGGCATCTCTTCTCAGCATTGGGGGTGCAATAATATTATGCACCTCAAGGTGTGGCCTGACGTATGTTTTGTACAACATTAGAAAGAGCTCAGGAGTGAGTGCACCTAACTGTCTATGCGTAAAGTGTATGACCGCATATGCCCTCGCTACATCCCCTGTGTAATTTACGCTTGTGTCCATTTTTTCCGTTAGAACTAGACCTAAGTCGCGTTCCGACGTTGTGCAGGACAAGCTTTCATTGCACAGGGTGTAACTTGCATTCTGCAGTCTACAGGTGCGCAACTTCACTACTTTGCACTTTTTCAAGTTGAAAGTCATGCCACTGGCCACCGCCCAGTCTTCCAGAAGGTTTAGGTCTTCCTGTAGCCTATCTGAGTCCTCCGGACACTTTATCGCCCTCCATATTTTTACGTCGTCAGCGTACAGGAGAGTCGGGCAGCTCAGACGGCGTGGTAGATCATTGATGAAAATCAAAAACATCAGTGGTCCTAGGATAGAACCCTGCGACACTCCTGATGACGATCTGTGCCAAGATGATCGGACTCGGTTAACCTTAGTGCAAAATTGCCTGTCGGCTAGGTAGTCCTTCAACCATGACAGAAGTGGCTCACCTATGCCTGCCTGTCTTATTTTATGTAGGAGAAGGTCATGGTGAACAGTGTCAAACGCCTTCTCAAAGTCTAGGAAGACCACATGGACTGGTACGTTCAAGTCCCAGCATGATGTCCAGTCGTCCCAAGCTGACAGTAGGTTAGTGACGCAGGATCTGCCTTTTCTGAAACCATGTTGGGCTTCATGCAGTATATTAGTCCTATCGAAATATTCCCTGATGTGGTCGTCAATAATACTTTCCAGTACTTTTGATACCACTGGGAGTAGAGCTACTGGTCTATAGCTAGCAGCGTTTTGCCTGTCCCCACCCTTGAAGATCGGAGAAAGGATGGCTCTTTTCCACTCCCTTGGCAGGGTCCCCGAATCCATTGAGTGTTGGAACAAGTCGCACAGGGGTCTACAGAGAGCCTCGGCGCACTGTTTCAGAACAGATGGCCTGATGTCATCACAACCTGGGGACTTCCCAGGTATGAGTCTCTGTAGCTTCCTTAGTACTATTGCGGGGTTTATTTGGGGAGTAGTCGCTAGGTCTTCCTCCTCTGAAATAGTGGTGCCACCATTTTGGTCCGTAACTGTAATATCCACATTGCTGTTTAGCTGTTTAGCGAAGGCTGAACTGAATGTTTCAGCCATCTCCAGACTAGTGAGATATTGACCGTTTGGGCCTACTAAGGCGCATGCCCCTTGGTTTGTCGGTTTTCTTTCCGACATGAATCGGTACAAGTTTTTAGGGTTTGATAGGAGTTTTTTAGCAAGGTTAGCCTGGAATGACCTTCTGTCCCTCCTAACTCTTGCATTACACCGGTTCCTGAGTTCGAGGTATGCATCATGGTCGGTCTGACTCTTAGATACACGCCACGTAAACCAAGCCCTCCGCTTTGCTTGCAGAATACGTTGCGTGCCTCTCTTCAACCATGACGTCTTTCTCTTAGGCTGTGTTGTGACTAAAGGGACGGTATCCGAGATTGCTGCATGGATAATCTTTTTTACCACTTCCCAGTGTTCATCCACAGATAGGTCGTCCCATGCTAAGGGCCAGTCTGCGTCGGACAAGAGCCTCCGCATTTCAGCATAGTCAGCCTTGCTGTAGCACAGACATGGTCGCGTAACATCCCATTGCAAACGCTCACGGAGGACAAGATCGAAACCTATGACTGCATGGTCACTGCTTCCCAGAGGAGTCATGATCTGGACCTTTTCGACGAGTAGCTGGTCACTAGTTAGAATATAATCTAGTTTTGATGACTTTCCACTAGGGCCCCACCTAGTGTCGTCTCCAACATTCTCAGTCAGTCCCGTGTTTCGAATAGTTTGCAGTAGGTTTCGGCCAAATTTTCCCTTAGCACACCCGGAGCCAAGGTTCAGTGATGGAGCATTGAAATCTCCAGCTATGGTGATTTGGTCGTAGCCCAAATCTCGTATTCCTGTGATAGTGCTGAGCAGTAGCTGATTGTGCTCTGCCCCACAGGTGGGAGATCGGTAGATGCCACCCAGTAAGTGCTTGGTGTGGCCTACGGTGAAATGACACCATATGGAGTCTGGGAGTTCGATAAGTGGTGGGTCCGTTGCGCGCACACATTTAAGTTGCCTATCAAAGTATATAGCAACTCCCCCTCCTTCCTTATTATCCCTGTCTCTCCTGACCAGTACCATATCACCTATACTGATTTCATTGTCGGCGATAGTGGGGTTTAGCCACGTTTCATTGAGAATGATTATTTTCAGTTGAAGGTGCGCTTGGAGATTTCGAAGTTCACCTACTTTCCCTCTCAGCCCCCTCACATTGCTATATAGGCAACTGACAGTGAGTCTAACAACCTCAGAGTGTTGTGGGGTAGTTGACGTGAAACCGTCTGCTGGTGGGGGACTTGATGTTGGAACTAGTTGGCCGATTCCGATAGAACCGGCCCGTTGTAGTTTTTTTCAATGGATTTAGGCAGGACACTTGGGAGACACAGACTATTATTCTCAGAGCTGCATCGCTCTAGTGTCACCGAAGCTTGGGGTCGTATTAAAGCCTCAGTTTGCTGCCTCCTTATATTTCTGGGTCTGCTTTCACAGCATCGGATGTGTCCTCCAATTTTTCCCTTGGTCTCATACCACCGTTGAAGTGATATGGACAACTGCTCCGGGGAGTTGAATGTGACACACAGCAGCTTTGGAGAGTTAATCAATGTTAGATGAGCGGGACGAGGTAGTCGGAAAATGGAGATGGCTCCAGAAGCGCCAGGGGCCATCTGAGATGACAGCCATCTCCATTGTTGTACGTCGTGCATGTGTTTTTCACAAGCAGTGCCGGTTTCCAGCTCCGGAACACCGTGTACCACCATAGAGGTGGAAGGCATCAGTTCCGGTGACTCCCTCGCCATATTTCTGACGGCCCATGGTCTATCTTGCCGCGCTCTTATGTTAGAACTTCTGTCCAGGGCTAGTACCTGAGCCATTAGCAGTACTTTTTCGGCCTCTTCGGCTGAGTCCAGTGTAACCCGTAATGGGGGTGGCTTACCCTGAGGCGTGTGGACACCCCTGTACAGTCTGCACAGTTTTGCTGAACTAATGTTCAGACCTAGTTTGCCACACAGGTTGGACCACTGTTCCTGATCAAACAGGGCCCGTTGTTCGAGCAAGCTATCCGTGCTCACAGGTACGTTAAAGAGGATGAGAGAGTTAGACCGACTACCCTCAGACTTAGGTTTTGCCTTCGGCTTCTTGCAGTCCTTTGCATCATTAGCAACATTAGGCTTCGTCGGTACCTGGACAGCCTTTTTTGTGTTGCCAGGCTTGCTAGTGGATGGAAGTGGTGCCTTTGTAATTTTGCCCTCCCCTGTTGTGGATGGAACCTTGCTAATCTTCACCTTGTGAGAATTGGCATTTCCAGTCAGTAGGGCTGGTGTGTCCTTCTTTAAGTCTTTGACCAGTTTCGGCATTAATTTTCTGTATGTTCACTCCTGCTAAGAAATTCACTTTGTTAACTGCCCTCTGGTTTCTTTCCTCTCAGGAAGTTGTTCATGAAACTGAGTGTTTCTTTGAGCTAGACTTATGTTTCAAATCAAGATAATAAAGATAGAAAGCTCTTGTAGTCTGTGTTAATCCTTGCAGTATATATCTCTGCAGAGATCTAATCTCTTCGAAAGCGTTCACCGATGGAGGTGTTACTACTGAATCAGGTAAGGAGTTCCAATTGTTGAGGATTCTGTGAGAGAATCTAAATTAAATTGTAGATGTATTTTATTCGACCTAGGTCTGAGCAACTATTTGTCGTGAAAGATGAATTTCTAAATCATCGTTTAATGTACGGTGTGCCGAAATTAAGTCACCTCTCCTCCTTCTTCGGTATGATAATGGAAAGAGACTTAAATGCTCCATCCTCTTGTCATAAGGAAGGTGTGAGGTACCACTAATTAATTTGGTCCCTACCCTCTGTATTCTTTCTAGGATATGTGCCTCCTTTTTGAAGCATGAACTCACCGCTTGTATGCAGTATTCTAGTTGAGGCGTGACATATGTTGCATAGAGTACTTAGAACAAAGACTCGTTTAATCGTTTTAAAGCCCTTCAAAGTACTTATAGCATTCTAGTCTTAGCTGCGGCTCGATTACAATTTGCGGTTGTTTTTGCGTCATGGCTTACAATAATTCCTAAGTCCTTTTGTCCCTTAACATCTGGCAGTTCTTTGTCCCCCAGAGGGTACGATGTGTAAGACCTCTGACCTAGGTGCATTACCGCACTTTTCTTGGAATTAATTTCCAGCTAATTTATCCAGATCGTTGTGTAATGCCAACCTGTCATTGTTATTATTTACAGCTTCCCACATCTTAATATCGTCCTCAAATAATAAAGATTTAAGAATTTTCGGTAGTTCATTTACGAATAGTATGAATAGCAGGAGGCCAAGCACAGTCACCTGAGATACTCCACTTAGTACTGCTTTTCACCCTCACAGTAAACCACTAACTCTCACCTTCTGCCTTCTATCCCTCAGGTAGTCCTCAAACCACTGGCATAGGCGTGTTGGTTTATTCCAAAAACTTTTAGTTTACTGAGGTGATGTAAATGGGATTACCTTGTCAAATGCTTTACTACGACCGTTGAAGACAACATCTAAAAGATGGTTCTTATCCATGACTTAGACGCTATCTTCCCTAGCTAATAGTGGATTTGTGAGACAGGATTGTACTGGTCGGAATCCATGCTGTTCCGCCTCCAGTAAGCCATGTTTCTGCATATGAGCTAAGAGCTGATCCCTTATGGTTGTTTCTGATACCTTTGCTATAATCGGGGTCAGACTTACAGGCTGGTAGTTAGATACTAACTATTGCATGTTCACCTATTTCAGGATGTAAATATGCTCGTGTTTACTTGTACGTTAAATGTCCCTCTGCTTAATTGAATAGTTTGTATTTATATGTAGTTAGGTATGTAAGTGTTCATACTCTCAACTTTACTGTTATATTTCACTGTTTTTCATATCAGGAAGATGGCCTTCTCTCTCAGCCGCGTTTGTCGATTTCACTGCCTCCATGCTTGAAATCTTGGCTTACAGATGACTGGGATTTGATTACTCAACAAGCTCGGGTAAGTAGTAATATTCAGTTGCATTATCATCCAGTTATCAGCAAAGCAATTTCCAATGTTTGAGCATTGGTCGTAATTTGTTAATTTAGTGACCAATTTAGTCACTTGGATGTTACAGTATGTACCCTAGCCCCGGGTTCCGGGTGATCAGGAATGGTCTCACCCTGAGTGTTTGCTCATTGTTGCACTTCGATGAGTTGAAACTACGAATCCAGTTGCAGTGGGTGCGTGCTGCCTGTGATTCCCAAATTAGGCTGATGAAACAGCTTCCCAGTACTTCCTGCGGCTGGTTTTCAATGCTTCTCTAACTCTTCATTGATGTCAATCTGTGATCAATTCGTAAAAAGCCTCAATGACCTGAATCATTATACTTCACTCCAGATTTCACACTTTATGAACACCTGACATGATATACTGGCAATTTTATTGTAAACACTAACTGATGTATGTTATTCTAGATATTCTAACTACCTTAACGACGTCATAAAGGCTTGAATTTCAAGCGGGAAATCTGCCTAAGTTTCAAAATCCTGTGATGACGTCCATAACGAACAATAAGTTATCATTTGGATGAGGCATTAAGGAGACAAATTTCGCCGCGAGATGATATCGTCATTTCGTAGTTTCTTTACAACCGCTTTACACAACTAACATGGTTAACAATAACATTAAAATAAAATAAAGTTCATATTTTTACGAGTTGATCACGGATTGATATCAGTTAGAGAAGCACTGTAAACCAGGGAGTACTGGACAGCTGCTGTTTCATCCTAGTTTGAGGATCATCGGCAGTACGCACCCAGTGGGATTCGAGCCCAGAACCCGGGGTGCGTTCTGCCGATGATTCCCAAACTAGGATGAAACAGCCGCTGTCCAGTACTCCCTGGTTTTCAATGCTTCTCTAACTGATATCAATCCGTGATCAACTCGTAAAAATCATGACAATTACTCAGTTATATAAAAAACAAAAGTAGTACATGCCATGCTAATGATCAATGATATTTTAATAGGTCAAGTAGTCAGTCCATGGTAGGCGAAGATTGAAGTCTATTGCTTTTTGTACACACAGTTTAGGCTGTATGTGATTAATTCTCCAAGGTGCTTCCATCACCTTCAATAACCAACCTTGAAATAGAGTTTTGTGGTGAAATAATTGTGAAACAGTCAATAATATTGATTGATTTTGTGACCTGACATTAATAAGTGTTTTGCAATCGATGGTTGATGCTGGACTTCTACTTAGATTAATTGCATTGGGATTATCTATGTGTTTTAGTAACCATTTTGGAACACGTTCTTTTCGACGATATTGGCACATTCTATTGGTTTTACCTATATAGGTGTCACCGCAGCTGCAAGTGAACTTGTAGATACAGTTTGAAGTAGAGTCCACAGAATTTCATCCTTTAATCGTAGGTAAAGGGATCGAAAATGTTCGGCATGTGAGAAGAAGAGATTCGGCGTAGAATGTGCGTTTGATGGTTGACCGAAGTCTTTGAGCTAGCTGTAACACAACTGCATAATGTGGTCACCCTTGAATGCTAGGTTAATAAAGATAACTTTCTTTGGTACAGAAGGTGTCTTTTCTGATATCATCTCGCGAAATTTGTCTTCTAAGTGACTTATTCAAAGATATATACAGATTCTCTACCTTCAGTAACTCATTCATTACCAAAGGTGAGCGGGGGTGGGGGTGTCTATCAATTTTCCTCACACAATACAGAGTGTGAGATGCACATTAAGTGTTCACAGTTATCGCCTAAGAATTAGCGATTTTCTGAATCTATTTTGTTATCAAACAACACAACAGGTCAGTGTTGTGGGTTTTTCTTCAAGTAATACACACTTGTGTAAAACCTGCACATAGACTTCAAAGTTATGCAAGAAATTTCATTGATATGTTGAAGTGGCATAACTCAAAAGCTCTCTCTGGTTGTCCATATATATATATAAATGTAAGCAAAGTGATGTCAGAAAATATGAATATAAACGCGTTAAGAAGGACATTTCATCTCCGGCTAACATAAACATCATAATGTGACATATAATCCGTTGATCAATATTCTGTCCTTTAGTCCTTACCCCTCAGCTAGCTCGCGAGAACTCGCAGGGGTTAAGGATAGCACTGAGTGTTAGGGCGGAAAAATCACTTCTTGACTGGATCCCAGTAGATAGTCGTATGTGTGCGATCCGTCTGAATGGGTCCGTTAAAAGAGGGAAAGACGGTGCTACCCGTCGTTGCCTTTTCGTAGTCTCCGCCTACGCCCCGATAGACTGCAGTTCGGATAAACTAAAGGATGATTTCTACCTGAAACTGTCTAATTTCCTGCGAAAAGCAAAACGTTTAGACATAGTTGTTTTAGCAGGCGACTTAAGTGCCGAAGTAGGGAAGTTGTTCCAGACTGAGAAGTATGTAGGTGGTACGTATGAAGTTCCCTGCCGACGGACCGACAACAGTGATCGTCTTCTACAGTTTTTCTCAGATAATCATCTGTTCCTAGTCAGCACAAACTTTAGGCACAAAGAGAGACATTGTGTAAGCTGGCGACCCCCATCACCAAATCAACTTTGGAATCAGATAGACCACATAGTGATAAGGTATCGTTGTCGAGGGTCAGTAGGAGACTGCCACTCCTTCTGGGACACGTGTGTAGACTCTGATCACGCTCTGGTTCGCGGACGTTTATGCTTACGACTAAACGGACATAAAAAATTGACGTCAGCGAAACAGTTACGTCCCCAACTAGATCGAGACACTGAGTCCCTATTTAAGGAAGAAATAGCGAAACGAGTATCTGAGGTCGACAGCAGGACTTCCCCTGATGTGGCCTGGCACAACATACGGTTAGCTGTAGACACAGCGGTCAAAGCTGTTAATAAGCTAAAACCAAAAGTTAGTAAGAGCCATTGGATATCTGCTGCCTCATCCGAACTGATTGACGCAAGAAGACTGATTCTGGCGAGCTCCGTTTATGATGAGGAGCGAAAGCTACTCAAACAAAAACTAACACGAAGTCTTCGCAATGACCGTGAACAGTGGCGGGCGACAAAAGCAAAAGAGATGGAAAAGGTATCGGCAATCGGTAACACCAGACAACTGTTTAGGCTTATCAGGGAAACAGGTGGTAAAAGGCAAATGATAAGTGAAACAATCTGATTGACGACTAGAACGCTAGAAAGAACACTATGCGGAGCAGTCTAATTGGGCTACAGCCACGCTCAACCTGCCGACTATCCAACACCTTCCTGAATGGGATATAGGCACAGGCCCTCCGTCCTTAACTGAGGTAACTAAAGCTGTCACTAGTCTGAAACAAGGCAAAGCAGCAGGACCTGATGGAATGACTCCAGAGGTATTTAAGTACGGTGGAGAAAGTTTACTGTCTGGATTAACTGAGGTACTAAGGCAGCGTCTGGGAATCAGAGAAAGTCCCGTCAGGTTGGTGTAAGTCACTGATTATCCCCATATACAAGAAGGGAAACAAGTCTTCCTGTGATAATCGCAGAAGGATTAGCTTGACTAATATAGTCCTAATATAAGTTCTAGGCTCAATAATCATGCGTAGACTAAGTGGTGCTCAGGAGGCACAAACACGAGGGAGCCAGGCAGGCTTTAGACCAGGGAGAGGGTGTATTGATCATATCTTCACCCTCCCACAGATTCTAGAACATAGGCATTCTTACCGGCGGCGTCCAACAATCGCTATATTTCTTGACCTGAAGGCGGAATTCGATTCTGTCGAATGAGAGGTACTTTAGCGTTGCGTTGCTGTAAAGGGAATGTCGAGAAAATACATTGCACTCATTAAGGCACTCTACTCGAACTCATGCAGTCAGCCAGGTGAGGGCTTACGATGAGTTGTCACCTGAAGTGGTGACGATTAGTGGTGTCCATCAGTGATGCCCACTATCCCCACTTTTATTCAATTTCATCATAGATGTACTAATTGACTTAAACCTAACTCACTTTAGAGACTCAGGGATTGACTCGCTACCAGGGAACAATCTCGTTGACTTAGAATATGCAGACGATATAGTCCTTCTAGGCGAGGACGCTGACAAAATGCAGTCTTCTGAACGCCTTGAGCTGCAGTCTTTGAATGATTGGCATGCGATTCGCTCCCGCCAAATGCAAGATGATGTTACAGAACTGACCGGACTACGCTGACTCCTAGTTTAGAAATAGGAGTGAAGTGGTAGAGCACGTTGACCACTTCACTTATTTGGGAAGTACCACCAGCCAACGCCAACGGGTTGATCTCTGACGAGATCTCATCACGGATACAGAGAGTTAGTTTCCCATATCCCAGTTTACCCCATCTCTGGCGTAGACGTGATATCCGCCTACCTGTCGACCAAAGGGTGGGTGTACTGCTCATCAGTCCGCTCCGTCCTCCCTTTATGGCTGGCTGTGAGACCTGGCCATTGAGAGTGGAAGACATGAAAAGCCTAGCTAGCTGTCTTCGATCATAGGTGCCTGCGCTCTATCTCCCGTGTGAAGTGGTATAATAAGGTGAGCAATATTGAGGTTAGGCGTCGGTCGAGTGTTAGGTAAGGTGGGAGCGGGAAATCAGTCGACGAGGCTGTGAAGCTACATCGACTGAGATGGTTAGGAAATGTGTTACGCATGCATGCGTAGTCATCCATTGCCTTCCTCGACTACGGGGTAATGTTAGCTGACATAGGGTCAGGCTGGAAAAGAGCTAGCGGCCGTCAAACCAAAACATGGCCCCAGTCAATGAAATCCACAACAATTAGCTTAAGCCAGCCACGTAGGAAGGTGTAGACTGCTGTCTGGTTGGGGTCCTCGGGACGGTATAAACCAATGAAGGCTGGAGACAATTGATGATATGGCTCAAAATCGTTCTCGGTGATGGCTAGCGCAGATGCATCCACTCCTTCTGACTTATGATGAAACTATATCGTTCTTCGTTATTACTATTCCTTTGTCTCACACCTCTGTTTACTGTCTCTATTATGCATTTCTTCTACTTTCTTCTCTTGCTGTCGAGTCACCTGACAACTCCAGTAGGTCAAATAAAGCAGCTCAATTTTCAGAAAGAAGACAAAGCAATAAGTTCGACAGGGTGCTTCAACTAAACTCTAATCCTAAACACCATAACTTTGAAAATACATCTAATCATAAAATTCTAGCTACTAACAGTTTGAACAGACATGAAGGTGTGATGTGTGTTAGCTAATGATACATAGGAAATCCTGATTAATAAATAAATAGAAATTGGATATGTATCACTAATTAATTAATAATACTTGGTCAAAATTCCCGATTGTCTATATCTTCTTATGGAGCCGTTAAGAAATGTCTTACAACCATTTACCCACACACACACACACACTCTGTTTAAAGTGTTTAAGAAAGGTAGACCAATATTTATAAGAGGTCTAAGGTGAAATTTTGATCACAACTCATTCAATTTTCTGTTGATTATACATGTTGATACCTGTTTCATGACTCATATGATTGGAAATAGTTTTTGAAAACAACAGATGTCCCCCTTTCATGTATATAAATCACCTCTGTTATGTTAATTTCGATTAATTTCCGTGAAGAAGTTCGGACTAGATTTCGACGAAGGCAGGAAACGTTGGAATTACTGATTTCCATCTCGCTGAGATTTTACAAATATAATTTTTTTTTACAAATGATTGAGTTTCGTGCTGAGTCAGTGGAATGAGTTCTCAATTCTCCTGCTAGTCACCATCCACCAATTAAATACTCGATACCCCTAGTTAAGATTTATTGTTCTCAGCGTAATTTTGTTTTTTGTGTGATAAATTGTAGTGTCACTACTACTGTTATAGAGTAAATCTCACTTCATATTTTTCTTTTTGTTTCCTGAATTTTTATTCTTCGGTTAAATTTTCACAGCTTTATGAACTGCCTGCTTCTCAGCCAATATGTAATATTTTATCAGATTTCTTAGAAAGTTCTGAGGCGGAAATGATTAAATCGGAATCAACTCGTGAAATAAACAACTATACTTCTTCTGAATCTGAGAACACTCAACTGAGCACTAACGTACCAATAGACCCGGGTGTACGGCGTGAATTTGTTGCTGGAATTCAGTATCTTTTCAATCATACTATTGGTTCTCATCTTTTATACAAATTCGAGAGATTACAATACGCTAAGCTATTGAAACAGCATACAGGCAAGAGAATGTCAGACATTTATGGGTCAATTCACTTGTTGAGGTTGTTTGGTAAGTCTTAATGTTCCCTCCTTTATGATGTGTAAAACTTGGGCATTGTGGTGGTAGTAAGTAATTCCATATTAGTTTGCTTATTAGATGTGTCACACAGTCACAGAAACAGTATTAGTATCTGCTGGATGACAAAGTTTCGAACACAATTTACTTATTGTTCATAATCATATCATCAATTATAATCACACGACTTTGAAACTAGAGATTTATGGTGTTCTTTTTTCTCTCCTATTTGTCGTCATTGGGGTAATAGAATTTTCCAGATATCTGGGTGGACAGGTGTTGAATCATTGCTATTACACTTATTTGCCACACCAAAAGTATGGTGGAGGTATGTAGATGACACATTCACTGTACTAAGAACAGAGGATATAGATAGATTTTTCGAACACATTAACTCCAAGGTGGAGGCAATTCATTTGACTTATGATGAATTGCATAGTCAGTAAGGGGAACTGCCAATATTAGATTATAGTGTAAAAAGAAAAGAAGATGGGAAGTTAAACACGCTAGTGTGTTTACAGAAAACCCACAGATATTTGGACTTCCGATCATTCCATCCTATGTCAGTAAAAATAGGATTGGTGAAATGTTTAAGTGACAACAGAGCACAAAAACTAAGTAGTACCAAGGAAAATCTATGACAGGAAGTGAGACATATAAGAGAGGCCTTGAAACTTAATAATTACCCTGATATATTAGTCAGAAAGTATGTAGGGAAATGTAGAAATAAAATAAATAATGATAGTAGTGATAGTGATGATGATAATAATAATAATGATAATGACGACATGCATGTCAAATATGCGCAAGACAACACCGACAATATATATATATATATATACATGATTTTACAGCTAGCTATGTGAATGAATTCGCCGGCGAAAAGAGTCTCTCCGCTGAACATTTTCTCTTTATCAAAGGTATAAGTTAAAAGTAAAATACATTCTAACTGTTTCTAGACGGTTTGTTGATAGAATTGTTATTATTACAATGGCTAAGTATGGTGTGACTGTTGCAAGTATTGCAAAAAGCATTTTAAAGCATTGATTTTGAGCAATATCATCAATTGTCTCCAGCCTTCATTGGTTTATACCGTCCCGAGGACCCCAACCAGACAGCAGTCTACACCTTCCTACGTGGCTGGCTTAAGCTAATTGTTGTGGATTTCATTGACTGGGGCCATGTTTTGGTTTGACGGCCGCTAGCTCTTTTCCAGCCTGACCCTATGTCAGCTAACATTACCCCGTAGTCGAGGAAGGCAATGGATGACTACGCATGCATGCGTAACACATTTCCTAACCATCTCAGTCGATGTAGCTTCACAGCCTCGTCGATTGATTTCCCGCTCCCACCTTACCTAACACTCGACCGACGCATAACCTCAATATTGCTCACCTTATTATACCACTTCACACGGGAGATAGAGCGCAGGCACCTATGATCGAAGACAGCTAGCTAGGCTTTTCATGTCTTCCACTCTCAATGGCCAGGTCTCACAGCCAGCCATAAAGGGAGGACGGAGCGGACTGATGAGCAGTACACCCACCCTTTGGTCGACAGGTAGGCGGATATCACGTCTACGCCAGAGATGGGGTAAACTGGGATATGGGAAACTAACTCTCTGTATCCGTGATGAGATCTCGTCAGAGATCAACCCGTTGGCGTTGGCTGGTGGTACTTCCCAAATAAGTGAAGTGGTCAACGTGCTCTACCACTTCACTCCCTATTTCTAAACTAGGAGTCAGCGTAGTCCGGTCAGTTCTGTAACATCATCTTGCATTTGGCGGGAGCGAATCGCATGCCAATCATTCAAAGACTGCAGCTCAAGGCGTTCAGAAGACTGCATTTTGTCAGCGTCCTCGCCTAGAAGGACTATATCGTCTGCATATTCTAAGTCAACGAGATTGTTCCCTGGTAGCGAGTCAATCCCTGAGTCTCTAAAGTGAGTTAGGTTTAAGTCAATTAGTACATCTATGATGAAATTGAATAAAAGTGGGGATAGTGGGCATCACTGATGGACACCACTAATCGTCACCACTTCAGGTGACAACTCATCGTAAGCCCTCACCTGGCTGACTGCATGAGTTCGAGTAGAGTGCCTTAATGAGTGCAATGTATTTTCTCGACATTCCCTTTACAGCAACGCAACGCTAAAGTACCTCTCATTCGACAGAATCGAATTCCGCCTTCAGGTCAAGAAATATAGCGATTGTTGGACGCCGCCGGTAAGAATGCCTATGTTCTAGAATCTGTGGGAGGGTGAAGATATGATCAATACACCCTCTCCCTGGTCTAAAGCCTGCCTGGCTCCCTCGTGTTTGTGCCTCCTGAGCACCACTTAGTCTACGCATGATTATTGAGCCTAGAACTTATATTAGGACTATATTAGTCAAGCTAATCCTTCTGCGATTATCACAGGAAGACTTGTTTCCCTTCTTGTATATGGGGATAATCAGTGACTTACACCAACCTGACGGGACTTTCTCTGATTCCCACCCTTTGGTCGACAGGTAGGCGGATATCACGTCTACGCCAGAGGTGGGGTAAACTGGGATATGGGAAACTGACTCTCTGTATCCGTGATGAGATCTCGTCAGAGATCAACCCGTTGGCGTTGGCTGGTGGTACTTCCCAAATAAGTGAAGTGGTCAACGTGCTCTACCACTTCACTCCCTATTTCTAAACTAGGAGTCAGCGTAGTCCAGTCAGTTCTGTAACATCATCTTGCATTTGGCGGGAGCGAATCGCATGCGAAACATTCGTAGATCGCTAATCGGCAAATAACAGATACGTACATAGTTTTCAAGCTCATACATACAACAATTCATGTGAATTGAACCTAAAAATGTCTGTCTTTTGAAACTTTTTTCTGTTTATAGTTAAACTCCGAGACATGGTTTCATTCGTCCGAGTCGATGATGATAGTTTGCCTATGCTAGAAGCTTTAGTTGCTGAGTTTTTGCAGTGAGTTTTTATAAATTATTTTTTATTGCACTGTAAAT